AACAGCAGGCTCTAAGCGCTTTACACTATATTTGGTAAAAGAATGATTGTTGCAGTTGTAAGCGACATCAGCAGAATAATAACGACATCCTCCTTTACAAAGGACAGAAACTGTTACCTAAATGTCACCCGCCAGTGCCACGGCCCCACAAACGATAAGGAGGATAAAACCAAGGATCGGGGGCCTCTCGTGGCCTAAAGGTGAAGGTGTTGGCCTCTCATTCAAAGGTCCTGGGTTTGAATCCGGGTAGCGACTGAAAAATTTTCTTCTCTAAAATTGTCTCCTTTCCTGCTCTCTAGCAATGTTCTGTCGTCTGCTTTCGTCTCCTCTTTCTGCTCCCACCCCCTCACCTCCTTTGCCCCCTGACTCTTTCTGCAGCCTTTCTACTGTTACTCCTTGGCTCCTTCTTACTGCTGTCTTTCAACCACACCCCTGATAAAACCAAGGATCGGGGGCCTCTCGTGGCCTAAAGTACCCAATATGTCCTATTTTAGTTACATACTTATTATGAATAAATTATTGTTTATTTAAAAAAGACAAAACAGATCTCTCTACAATCTGTGTTAAACTAACTACGACTATCATGTCTTTTACCATGAGAAATCTTAAATCTGCGCGAGTAGTTATAGTCAAGTTATAAGAGAAGAAAGATGCACATCTGCATTTTTTAACTAAAGACACTCAACGTTAGCTCTTGCTCTACGATTAAACAAGAGAAAGTCACTCTGTGTTTGTTCATGAATCATGCTGTGTCTGTGGCAGCCTGCATACAACTAAGAAAGATACGTGTATATTATAAGATTTTTTTAAAAACACAGCAGAGATGAACTTCTTGTATGGAATAAAAATAATGACAGCTTACATTCATTCTTAGTTTTTGTGTCGGACATATGCGTACACTTATGAATGTAAAGAAATCAGAACATTGTCAGTTATTGCAAATGATTATAGAAACAAAAATAAAACCTGGAAAAACCTGGTGCTGATTCAGTGTCACTGGAAAGCAAAAACATTATTAATACAATGACGAGAAGTCATCCTAGTTATTCAATCCACTTTCAAAACCTAGATCTAGCGTTTTAAGAAAAATAAGGAATAATTTAGGGAGTGTAACTGATAGCCTACTGTTCGTGTATTACATTGTTGTAGATGTATCCTGGCACTAAAATTGGTTTGCACTTTTTCACAGAGAGACATCAGGGTAATTTTGACCAACTTTAGAGAAAATATGCCAATATTCCCGATTATATAAGACACATAAAGTTGTATTTGGAGGAATGACTTCATACCGAATTGTGTGCCAGATGGATAAAGTTGCCAAATTACAGCTTTCTATTATACACGCAAAAAAGACAGGCAAATTTTTTCGGACACACAATGCGGAAAGAAGCATTAGAGAACATTGTAACAACAGGAAAGTTTGATGGAAAGAGAGGTAGAGGCAGACAGAGGGAAAAAATACTGGACAAGA